TCAGTGTTTTAAAAGACTATGTTAAGACTTGTTTTGGGGCTTGTTCTGGAGCGGGGGTCTAGCAAAATATCCCGAGACTCAAGTGTGGGGCTTAGTTTTGTAAGACTTACGCCCTAACGTTCGGGGCCCGCCTAACAGATCTTACACAAATTATGTGTTAAAATTTTTAGTTAACATTATTGACCCTAATAATTTTTCAATAAATGAATGATACTTAATACTTTTTTAATCTATAGAGATAAGAAGATTGAGAGTAACTCAAATAACCAGTTGTAGTATCGCATCTTTACTATTTGGTAACACTGTGAAGGTGATTATATATTACGTAACATTTCTTTTAAAAATACATAGCGAAATTTTACTTTTTCACTTGTCATTGGGCTTTATGGTTTTGTCATGTCTCAAAATTATCATTATTTTATTTAGCTATTTGAAAGGAATTTTTATTTTTATTAATGATGGAGTGATGTTTTTATTATAATACTAGTAAGTTTCATTGATTATTTTCTTTTAGGAAGGTAAATTGTATAGTATGATAAAAATATATATTAAGAAATAATTATTCTTTTATTATTAGAAAGTTAAGATTTTAGATTATTTATACTTGTACAATCATGTTACAAGTTTTATTTTCTATGACTTTCTTTAATCATGCTTGTAATTATTTCAAACTATTGATGTATTTTTATAATTTTGTGTTATTATATTACTATACTATATTGTAAATTAAAATTTTAAAGATACATAGGCTTATGCCCCACGTCTCGCCCTATACTAATTAAGTAAAACGCTCCGCCTCACGCCCTCGCCTTTTAAAACACTGACCACGATCAATATTTGATGAAGACGATTGTAACAAACCCAATTACTAGACTAACTCAATTCAAACTCAAACAACCAATATATATATTTCACTAACTCGTAATTAGAATTACAAAGGAATTAAGAATTAAAAGGAAAATTAATGAACACAATAGTAGAAGAAGGGAATGAGAAGCAGAACTCAGAAAAAGAGAATAAGAGGACTAGAACACAAGTAGAAGAAAGGGATGAAAAGCTCGATCGTCATTGTGTTTACAATGTTGTAGGTCAAGTTAGTCTCAGGATCGCAGGCTATGGGTTATGTTTGCAAATAGTATATAGGACCAGAATAAGTGAGCTTGAAGCTCCTCGCTGGTTTGCTCCAGTTCATCGGAGCTTGAAGCTCCTCACCGGTTTGCTTCAGTTCATCAGAGCTTGATGATCCTCGCCGGAGTTGGGGTTTCGTACTGTTGGTGGTTGTTTGGTGACGGAAAAATGGGAGGAGAGAAAGATTAGGATTTTTCTCAATTTAGAAATATTTCCTCTGGTCTAAATATTAGTAATTATTATCCATCATCATTGTTTAATTCTTTGTGGCTAAGTAAGACTTATATAGAAAGTAAATCATATTTAAAAACCAACAATCAACTTACCGCTTTTGATGTCCCATGATTCTACTAGCTTAGAAAGAAATAATATAATGGGTTCAAATTGTGGGCTCAAGATCGTGACCCAAAATTATTAGTTAATAAAGTATCTATGTATCAATATATTCTTAAACTATGTATCAATATACTCTAAAGAATTATCGAACGTTACAATTACAAGAGAATTACTCTTACTCTAACTTCAACTTTTAGATGCCTTCAATAGGCTATGTTTTATATCTCTCTTTTATGCTCTTCCTAGTTATATTTACTTGCGTTCCTTTTTGTCTAGGGCGATTTATTCCATAATGCAAACTCAAATTCATATATAAAATGGTGACAATTGTTAGTTTCCAAAATTTTGTCTTAAATATATTGGTCTTTTATTATTCTTTATAAAACTAACCCAAGAATAGTAATACATGTGTGAACTTCTTTTATTAAATTAAACTTTAATTGCTTTAGAATTTGTTTCCTTTTGATAAATGTTAAAAGTATATATAGACAAGGACATTTGCATATCACGAACCAACACTAGTTTATAAACATATAAATATTTATTATATTATTTACAATAAATTGTTAATATTTTTCAACTGAATAGCTGATCAAATAATTAAAGTTTTAGAAAATAGTCTATTTTAAATTTAAAAAATAGTGAAAATAAAGGTTTTAAAGCATTGCAATTAACTTCTCCCTAGCTAATGCCAATTTTCTTACCATTATCTAATTGCCAATTTTGGATTACATTTTCAATTTTTCTTAATTTCTTTATACGTTTCTAGCTAAGCATTTTAATTAGGGAAGAAAAAAACATTGAATCTAACAATATTGCCAGCAAAAGTCCATTCACAAAATAAATTTGTTGTTATATATTCTGGCCATGTTTGAATTATAACACTATATATCAATTAACCCTTTTCCCCTCTTGTTCTTTTCTCAATTGGTTTACTTCTTGACCAAAAATTTAAATGTTCGTAATCTAATTCTTTTTCTTCTTTTATGTTTCCCCCCTTTTTTTCCCCCACTCTAGCTCTTTGAGCTATTTTTAATTTTTATATTCTTTTGTCTTCTCTCTATCTTTTTCCCTTTTTGAGCTTATTGAAACTATTCTCCATCGAATAGTAATGATTGTGTTTTGTACGAAGGAAAATATTTTCCTAGAAAATGTGTTCTTGAAAAATAAGTTCGTTTTCTAACTTATTTTCTCATGTTTGGTTGGTTAGAGGTATGGTTGGTTAATGAAAACCATTTTTCAGAAAATATTTTTTTTTCTTGGCTAGAGAGTAAAAAATACTTTTTAGGAAAATAAGTTTCGACATGAAAATCAACCCTAATAATAGATCCGATACCCGACCCCGACACAAGAACCAAAACATAATCTTGACGATCAATTCGGGATCCGACCCCAACACTCGACCTTGGATCTAATCCTGACACCCGATCCAGATTTAACACGTACATCCAACACGAGACCCGACCCTAACCCAATTCGGGACATGATCTTCAGTCCCAACCTAGAATCTAACCCCGACTCTCGATCCGAGATCCAAACCTAAACACGATTCCAATGAATGATCTGAGATTCAACCCCCAAGACTCGACCCGATCCAAATCTGAAACTCGACCTCGACTATCGACTTAACCCTGATTCGAGATTTAACCCCCACCCGAGATCCAACACGACCCGATATCCGACTCAAGATCCAACTTTTGAACCAGGATCCGATTTCGACTCCCAAGCCCAACATCCGACTCGAGATCTAACTTTTAGACCGAGATCCTATCCTAACCTACGACCCGAGATCCAACCTTGACCGGGATCCGACTGTGACCTGAGACTTGACCCCGACTAGAGACTTGACCACAACCTTGACTTCCGACCCCAATATCTGATTTGAGATCTAACCCTAATATTTGACACGAGACTTAACCCCGACTCGGGACCTGAAACCAGACCCCACCCCGAGATCCAACCCCAACCTCGACTCCTGACCCCAACATCCGACTCAAAATTCAATTTTGGATCAAATTCGACTCTGACACTCAATTCGAGACCTGACCCTGACTCCCGACCTTAACATCTAACTCAAGATTTGATTTTGGATCGGGATCTGACCTCAATACTCTATTCAAGACCCGATCTCGATCCAAGAACTAACATCGACTCGGGATCTGACCCTAAAACCCAACCCAAGACCTCACACCAACTTTCGACCCAAGATTTGACCCCGAGACCGGACCCCAACTGGGACCCGATCCCAGCCCCAACCCTGACTCTCGACCTAAATATCTGACTTTGGATCTGATTTTGAATCGAGATTTGACCCCGACACTTGATACGAGATCCAACCCCGACCCGAGAACTGATCTCGACCTGAACTCGAAACCCGACCTTAACTCCCGACCCTATACCTAACCCGACTTTCGACCCAGATCTAAATCTAAGTCCCGACCCTAGATTTGTCTCAACCCGAGATTCGACCTTGACCTAAGACCCAACCTCGACTAGAGTATACCTGACCTGAGATCTGACCCTGACCCAAGACTCGACCTCGCTAGACACCCGACCTGAGACCTGACCCCGACTCCCGACCCAGTTGTCGACACCAAAATAAGAACTAACTTTCAAACTGAGACCCGACCCTGACGCCCGAGTAAAAACCTTACAACCGAACCTTAATCCAACCCTAACGTCGACACTTGACTTCTGAACCCTGATCCGACACCGACACTTAAATTGAGACCCAACACCAAAATTGGGACTCGATTTTGAATCAGGACCGGACCCAGTACCCCATTCGTAACCCAACTTTCAAAAAGAGATCTGACTTCAACATCCGACCCCGACATTTGACAATGACACCCAACCCCGATAATCGATTTGATATCCAAATATGACACCTGGCATGAGATCCAACCTCGACTCTCAACCCAAAACCCGATTCGAAACCCCATCTCGACACCTGATTTGAAATCTGACCCAACACCCGACACAAAATTTTCAACCTCTAATCATAACTCAACATCTGACCTTGGTTCAATTCGAAACTTGAGATTTGGATCTCGAATCGAGATTGAGAGTCGGGTCTAGAATTGAGAATCATGAGCCAGATTTAGGATTAGAATAGAAAATCGACACTACTTGAATTAGGTTGAAAAGCTGATCGAGGTGTCGAGGTTCAAAATGAGTTTTGGAAAATGTTTTCCTTACTTTTTAAAGGCAAGTCATTTTTCTTAAATTTGAGGAAAATAAGTTGATTTGAAAAATATTTTCCAAAACATTTAAGGCAATCAAACATGAGAAAATTGAAATGTTTTCCTTCGTATGTAACACATAACAGTTTTGCTACAAAAGAACTAAGGTATTTGTGATAAATAATTGTGCTATTATTGATCATTTTTCAATTGGAAAACTATTCAAACATAGTTGCAAACGGAATAACGTAACGTTTATTTGTGACAAGAATATTGATTGTAGTTTATTCATCAAGTCATTATCATCATGACATTAGAATCAAATTAAGGATGGATTCAATTGAATTAGTCAGGCTTCAACGTGTATCAAGTATAGAATTAAAAAAAACTAAAAAGAAATATCAAACGATAGTAGCATACACCCATAATCCTTCAGAAATCCCGAATACGCCTCTACATTCTACCACACAAAAAGAAGTAAAAAAAACTTCTAACATAAACTTACAATTGGACAAAACATAATAGCATTTGTGTCTACTATTAGTTGTTTATTGGTGTATCACTAGGTTGAACTCTTCCATCTTCTCTTGAACCTTTTTTCTCATTTGCTTCCTCATTTGGTATGCACTTAGCACATAAGATCCAAAACCCAAACTTATCACACACAAATTTGAACCAAGATACAATTTCAAAAACAAGAAAGATGAAAGCCAAACAGCTAACTATTCCTAAATAAGCTGGTTTCCAGTATGTGTAGTCCAGATGCATTATTTGTATCCCTTTCAATATGTTGATACAACTCACAATCAGTAATGAATATCCAACAACATGATGAAACATGTTCCTATACATACGAAATTCATCGCGATCGCCTGGTTTAAATTTGAAAAACAACATCTGCATTCACAAATATGTGATGTTATACTTGTATGAAACTCTTTAAGTATCATTCATGTTTAAGTAAAGTTGTAATTTTGGGAGAAAAATGATTAAACAGTAAATTTAGAGGGTTTCCACAAGTCTGTTTACATCATCAAAGGTTAAAGGTGGCAAACAACAATATGTTGACCATATAAACTATACCTAAAAAGAATGATACATTTTCTTATTTGACAGATATTGAATGATACTATCAACGTTTTACTCATGTTGAGTCCAACTAATTTAGCAAATATTCCACAAAAGTATATATATACTTTTCTATTTGATTTTTTTTTATTTTAATAATAATTTTGGAACATTACAAAATTTTAATATCCTGCTATGACCGATTAAAATATACTATCAATGTAAAATTTCTTGATGTTGACTCATAGGCAGAGCCATATGTATTTGAGAGGTGTCAACTGACAAAATTATACTGTATTGCTAGGTAATTTTTTTTTCTACCTATAGATTAACATGTGAATTTTTCATTCTGTTCTTCTTGTGAATTTTCACAAATCTAATAAATTATTAACGGTAGAACCAATTATAGAATAATAATGTGTTAAGTAAAAATTATAATATTTCTTTATATTTAAGGATAATATAATACAACTTATTTGCCATGTAATTGTAAAAGAGACTAAATTACATGATATGCCAAATTACCAATATATATACCTTCTTTTTGTTTTAATTTGTATTTCTTACTTTTCTTTTTAAACTATTTTAAAAAGAAATTAATGTCTCTTTCCTTTTTTGATAATTTTTTTTATTCTAACTTTCCACATGAGATGTTTAAGAATCTAAGACCATAAGATTAAAAGACATTTAGGTATATTCTACATATATCATTCATTTCAGACCACAAAAAATTAAAATCTTTTTAATTTTCTAAAATTTCGTATCAAACTAAAAATCAGACAAATAAATTGAAATGGAGAGTGAGTGTCTTACTTGTATGGTGGCTAAAGCAAATATGAAAAGGCCATAAGTTCCATGTTTGGGAAAGGAATAATATTTGGAGATTAACATGTGCAAAACATTTTTTTTACGTATAGATTAGCATGTGCATTTTTCATTCTGTTCTACTTGTGAATTTTCACAAATCTAATAAATTATTAACTGTAGAACCAATTATAGAATAATATTGTGTTAAGTAAAAATTATAATATTACTTTATATTTGAGGATAATATAACACAACTTATTTGCCATGTAATTGTAAAAGAGACTAAATTACATGATATGCCAAATTACCAATATATATACATTCTCTTCGTTGTAATTTGTATGTTTTACTTTTCATTTTAAATTATTTTAAAAAAGAAATTAATGTCTCTTTCTCGTTTTAATAATTTTTTAATTCTAACTTTCCACATGTCATGTTTAAGAGTCTAAGACCATAAGATTAAAAGATATTTAGGTATATTCTACATATATCATTAATTTCAGACCACAAAATTTAAAAAACTTCGTATCAAATTAAAAATCAGACAAATAAATTAAAATCGAGAGTGAGTGTCTTACTTGTATGGTGGCAAAAGCAAATATGAAAAGGCCATAAGTTCCATGTTTGGGAAAGGAATAATATTTGGATGCTTTACCAAGCCATATTCCAACAGCCCATCCTGTTGTTCCCACAAGGTACCCAATTGTTTGGCATGAAATATGATATTTTCTCCAACCCAACCAATGTAATGGAAACTCTCTAAAATTCCTTGCTATAATCACACCAATAGGAAGCACTGTACCCCACCCAATAATATTTAATATCCCATGAACCTGCACGCACACACACACACACATATATATATATATATATATATATATATATATATATATATATATATATATATATATATATATATATATATATATATATATATATATATATATTCTTAATTCATCATTATGCAATAAAGAGAGTATCAAATCAATAAAAAAAGAACTAAAATTTTGTGTCATAGAATAGTTGATATTAGTCGTGTGAGGCTTCTTTTTACCTCACAAAAAATATACTTAAATTTTATATTTGTGGGTCCTACCAACATACCCTCAAGTGTAGTAAGTAAAACTTCATGAAAAGCATAAAATAGTAGGCATGAACATTCTCTCTCTATATATATATATAAGTATTACTTCTTTCCATTTATTTATTTTACTTTTCTTTTTATTATGTTTTTTTTTTTTTAATTTGCCAACTTCTTATTATCAATATTCCAAGTGACATGTTTAAGATCAGATGATTAAAAAGTATTTTGACACATCATACATAATTTTGTTAACAATCAAAAAATATTCCAAGTGACATGTTTAAGACTAGATGATTAAATCATATTTTGACACATCATACATATTTTTGTTAACAATAAACAAATTCAAAAAAATTATAGAAGCTTGACTTACTTGTCTTATTTTGCTAGATTCATGAACTCTATTGCCTCGACCTTTGCCTGTCCTCAAGTTAATTGTTTCACTACTATCATAATTCATGAGGCCTTTTCCATGCATCTTTAGTTCTTTATTTCCTACTGCCCCAATATTAATTCCAACTTGCCACACTTGATTCAACCTTGACAAATCATATTTCATTGGAAGAATAATAGTTGCTAATATAACATGATATTTAAGTTTACTAACGTAAATAAAATTGAAATTACTTATGTTTAAGTCAATAGGAGAAGGCAATAGTTGACAACCTAACTTGGTATAACTAGTAATGTTGTATGTATCCTTAAGTAACTTTTCATCATTCTTAGTCTTTATACCTATAAGAGCTTGTGTTCCAATCATTCTAGCTTCTGGACCAGGGTTCAAACCCCATGCTAGCCATCCTGTTTCTTCTTCTTCTTTTAACTTAGCTCCCACCATTATGTCAAGTTTTCGAGTGTTTTCGTGTAGATACATGGCTACTTCAACTCCATTGCTTTCCATATATCTCTTGGAAAATGTTATGTTGATTAGATTTCTATTCTTCGCCTCGGACAAGAAATCATTACTACAATGATGAGCATGAGTATTTGTAAACGAAAATATCGATAAAAATGATACAATGACTAATAACATCATAGAGAAAGATGGTGGTGGTGATGTTTCTATCATGTTGTTTATATTTTGTGTGTATACTAATTTAATTATTTGTAAGTGTGTGTGTGTATATATATATATATATATATATATATATATATATATAAATTATCAAGGAAACAAGTATGGATAATTTTCCATGGTGGAGTTGAAAGGAAGTAATGGATATATTCTTTTTTTCTTTTGTCATTTTTCATCTAAAGGACGAAAGGTTGTTTAACCATTACAATTCCATTTTTCACACTTTACTTTTTTTTGTGTGGCCTTTCTTAGCTTGCTCACAAAGCTATTAACAAAGTGAGATGCCTCACTTCTAGTTATTTTGCATGTTGTACAAAGAAGATATTTAAGAAATAATGTGTTTCACGATGTAAGAGAAGGAGTACATCTCAAGGTACAAGCATTGAGTGTTCAAAATTTCTTTATCTTTGTGATTTATAATTTCTTATCTTAACTCATAATATGTTTTGCATAATAAGTTGTCACTCAAGCTAAATTTAAGAAAAGTAAGAGATACTCTACCCAAAAACACAATTGTACCTATTGAAAATATCAAGTCGATCACTATTTCAGGGTCATCTTGACTGAATGCTGACCGTGGTCAATTCAAAACTTTAGAAAACAAAAAATCTATAAAAGATCCAAAATATGACTGAAAGACTAGAGAATCATATCGAACCTCCAATTAAGCCATGAATAACCCTCCAAATCTAGTGGAATCATTAAACTTTTGATTTAACCTTGCAATCTCAAATATTGACATTGGTCAAATTTTCCAAATTTTCAACTTTTAAAACTGAAATACATTCTCAAAATGTATCCGATCACCTCGAGAATTGCGTCACCCATCCCCAATTCATAAACAGCTAAGATGGTTAAATAGGGGAAAAGAAGCCAAAAAAAAAAAAAACCTTGACCATCACGTATTGTTTCTCTTATATATGTTGTTTCACTTTTGTTTAAATACTAGAAAAGGGAAGCCGTGCTTTGCACAAGTCCAATCATTATTATTTGAAATTCGTAATGTTTATTTGTGGTATTTTTAATTTTTTAAATTCAATTATATTTATTTTTTATAGATATAATATTAACGATCTAACATTAATATTCGAAATAAAAGGTAATTTATAGATAAAAATGGGCAAATAAATAAAAAAATTAAATTTATAACATCGTAGATATTTGTTACACTTAATTAAGTAGTACTTATTTAATTTGTTTTTTATAGTAAAAATTCATTTATGTAGATAGGTTTTCTTATAATAATAAAATATTTTTATGTAAACTAAAAGATGAAATAAATAAATTATGAATATGAAATATATTTACGTAATACGAAATGTGAAAAGCTTCAAATGAATTGAAATAAAAACAAAAAATAAAAAAATGATGTTGCCTAGGTTCAAACCCCAGACCTTGTACTTAAAAAGTCAAGCTTAAACCAATAAGTCAAGTAGCTCAATGTGAAGGTAAGCACACAACGAAAACTGACATGTTAACTGTCAGTTGTGTGCTTATTCTCCTTTCTTGTATAGTATAATAGTAATAGTTTAGTAAATTTATATGTAGTTTTAATGATGTATTAATTAAATTGATGATAGATGAATTTGTGGATCCAGTATTACAAGAACTTGTTTATGCATGATTTATTTTTTTCTATCCATTGATAACCATGGATGAAGATCCAAATAGTGACATAAATATTGATAATCAATGTCTTAGTTCTTGTATTATACCATAGGGCTTTGATTTTTGTAAAGGTAAACATTATTCCTAGCCCTTCAATAGAAAATACTTTTACAAATTATCATCAAAATTATGAGAATATTTCATAATTATCTAATGTTATTTTTAAAGAAGAGCAACCTATAACCATCACCAATATTCGTAGCAGTTCATGAATAGAACAAAATTCTTCAAAATAACTTATCAGATTACCCTTAATAAAGAAGATGACTATTCATTATCTTATTTTTTTTCATATGGGATAAAAGACTGTTTCCATGCGCTACAAGAGGAAGGAGGAACAAACAAAATTAGTATTAGTGAAGGGAGATATCAAGAAAATATTAAAGTCAATGGCTTGATTACATGCCTAATTTTATGGAGAAACAAGATGCCATTATTAATATTTCAAGTATGAGGGAGCAAGAGAACCATAAGACCAATGACATGATTCTGAATTCTCCAACAACCTATGCTAAAAATTCTTGTTTTGGAGAAATTAGAAAGGGTGTCGTCCGTGAAATCAAAGTTTACCATTGATTATCCTTTGAAAATTCAGAAAAGTACTTGGAAAGAGAAAGAAAACGTTGAATCCAATGACCCACTTATGCCAAAAAATCCATGTTCGGAAAGAGATTTCATAAAGCCAATTGATCATTCTAGTTTTCGAATAAAGAAAAAAAATCCTAGAACCAATGTGCGATGATCCTCAATCAAACAAGTGTCTTTTAAAGCACTTTCTCGATTGAGGATAAGGGCTTTGGTTCTTTTCTTTTCTTGCTTTATCAAAAAATCTAAGACGGTCAATTAGCTTTATGGAATATCTTTTCAAACATGAAAATTTTGGCATAGGTGGGTCATTGGATTTAGGGTTTTGTTGCTCATTCCAAGTACTTTTTAAAATTTTCAAAGGATGATAATGAAAAACTTTGATTTCATGGACGACTTCCATTGTAATTTTCCAAAAACTGGAATTTCGGGCATAGGTAGGTGGAAAATCATGTTATTAATCCTAAGGTTCTCTTTCTCCTCCTACTTGAATTATTAATAATGACACCTTGTTTCTCCATAAATTTAGGCATTGGGATCAAGTCATTTTAAGATTTTCTTGATTTCTCCCTTCACTAGTACTAAATTTACTTGTGCCTCCCTCCTCTACTAGCATGGTAATATTATTTTATCCCATGAAAAAGCTATAAGACAATAAGTAGTCATCATTTTTATTAAGGGTAAAATAATAAATTATCTTGAAGAATTCTTATCTATTGATGAATTGCTATTTGCTAATTAAGGATATTGATGTTGGTAATGTGTTGCTTCTTTTTAAGAATAAAATTAGGTAATTATGAAATATTTTTAGAATTTTGATTATAATTTGGAGAAGCATTTTCCATTGAAGTGTTAGGAATAATATCCGGGTTCGCATGCTTATGCTCTTGAAAAAAATCCAAATATATTCGACTAGTATACACCTTCACGAAAATGAAAACCCCATGGTTATCAATATTCATGTCACCGTTTGGAGCTTCATCCATGTTTACCAATGGATATAAAAAAAATGGATTTTTTTCTCTTTTGGTTTGCGATTTTGTAATGGTCCTTTGGGTCATTTTCTCTATTTTGTGGTATTTTCAACATTTAGAACTTTTCTGTAGTGACTCAAAGTAATGTATGACTTGCTACGACTGACAATTTGGTCACCTAGTACTTGCGACATTTGGATCACTGGAGCAACGATTACAGTGATTAAACCCCTGCTCTTACTTTGTTATTTTATTTTCCATTTGAGAGTGTTGAGAGCTATTTTCTTGTGAAATTCATTGCATTGAGGTAAGAGTAGCATGAGGGCATTGTTAAGGTCACTAATCACGCTCCTAAACCCATAAGTTATCGTTTTAATTGTTGAATTTAACTTTAAATGGATTTATTGAACTAGTTTCTTGTTGGACACAAACAAACCTAAATTGAAAAAGCTTTTTATCAATTTCACATAGATAAAGCTTTTTAGATTGCGATAGTTGAATTATATCTTATTTATTCAATATTGAATTTACCACGTACTCTAAGTCAGAAAATAGTTTGGATCTATAAAAAGCTTAAATTTAAAGATATAATATCAATCGATTTTCTATTAGATTAGATACAACAAATAAAATTGAAATGTTTTTTTTTTTATAAATGTGAATCTTTTAATGGAAATGAAGTATTTGCAAGAGATAGTTCTTTAAAGCATTAAAGAATAATTTACTAGTACATCATCAATTAAAAAAAATAAAATTAAAAGAAAGAACTTACAACTGGTGATTCGTTGATTCAATTATGAAGAATCCATGAAAAGGAAACTGCTGGAATTGAATTCCTTAAACGTCATTGCTATCAACATTCTCTGCAAAGTTGTGAATGCATTTTATGTCGGCTACATTAGGTTGAGTTGCGTTTATAATGGCTGAATGAGAGAGATTGTTCAAACATTATTTTTATTTTTATAGAAGGGGCAGGCGACTAGGGTTTTCTAAAATTTGATAAAAACATTGTTAAAATTTGGTTTGCCCCCGAATAGAGTTGATAGTTTCAGCCCATATTTATAAAATCAGCCCATTAAATTCATATTTTAATGAATTGGGTCACTTATATTTCATTTGGGCAAAAATAAACTTCGGTCTATTTTTAACATATAAAAATTTGGACAAATATAGGTAAAATATGATATCCATATATGAACTTACATTTGTAAATAGAAAAGAAATATTTTCCTTAAAAATTTTATGAAAACATTTTCAAAATTCATGCAATGGATCCCAAATCAAACCCTCACATGATCTACCTTCCCCTATTTGCTTACCTCGGCTTACCCAACTCTATTACCCTCACCCCTCTCTACCCCACCCCACTTGAGTTAGAGATCGGGTCCTGATAGAGTCGGGAGTTAGGTTCAGGATCGAGAATAACCTAATTTCTTATCTTTCTAATTCACTCTATTCTTTTAAAACTGGATATCAACATAAATGACTTTCTCTTATCACAAACCTTGTTGAAATAAACCTAGGATCTTAAGGTAGCAAGTTCCTACATGCCATTATCGGCTCAAACTCCAATTTGGGTAGCACATCATCAAGTCATCTCAATTAATACTTCATTCAGGCATTACACTTAACTCATAACATGCTTTATGCAATAAGTTGTCACTCAAGATAAACCTAAGAAAAATAAAATATAACCTACCTCGAAATTGAACCGCAAAGCCTCAAACTATGGTGTAGACCTCATTGAGGTCCATTAGAAACTGAATCAAGCGTCTA